TTGACCGCAGCCAAAGAGTGGGGAGGTGCGATTCCCGGTTCTGGTGCGAGTTGATTTGTCAGCAGATTGTGGCTGAAAGGTGGTCGCAAGTATCCCCTCATATTCTTGTGCATTCCTCTGCTCCATTCTCACCTTATGCATGCATGAGCAATGTATATCACTATTGTAAACCAGCAAGAAAGGTATTCTACCATTATAGTAGATAGAAACATGTCTGTCTCTTCTTATTCCTGAGCTGTCCACCATTGGGATGAAATGATGGTCGATTTGACTAAGGTCGGCACAAGAGTGCTTAGGGAAGTTATGTATTGTTCTTTAGAAACATTTGGAACATATCCGTTGATATGCACTGACACACAACAATCACCAAGGACCCAAAGAAATAAACCTAAACCCCGTGATATGGGTGAAGGCGGTCCGAGACAACTGAAGGGTATTTAATAGTTCGAGGGGGAAAGGAGGAGTAAGACGCCGTAGGGTAGTCCGTAGGAAGACCTAGAAAAATAAAACAAAACCTTGACGCCTGAAACAAACACTAATGGACGCTCCGGAGTATTTATCTCCGGAAGGTCGCAAACAAAGTCGCAAACCATGGAACCGAGTGTAGGTTCGGGCCCACGGGAGTAGAAATTGCTAGAGAAACTTGGTTAATTTTATTTCGCTATGTGAGGCTCACCGGAGCTAATTGAATCGATGGCGGAGATAAATCACTCGACGAGTCAGGCCTATTGGCAAAGCTAGGATCGGTTATAATTCGCTAAGTTCGACGCTTTCGAACTTCTCAGGTCGCTGAGATCGTAACGCTAATTCTCTGAGATGGTGAAGTCGAAACTTGTTTTTCTGTATGCTACTTTGTACAATTTATACTACAGGAATGGCTTTGCGACCGTTCGGAGATAAATAACAAATTAACACCGCTACCCACAGGATTGCTCAGCACTTTCCTCCGCTATACCATACATCATACGACTCTCTTGCACTCCCACTTGCTCTTTCCAGCCCCTATAGGTCGCCTCGACGCTTCGCCACCTGACCCAAGCGGTCCCATCACTCCGTGCGACACGCCGGTCACGTGTTAATTACCTCCGGCCGTTTGCTGACTGATGCTGACCTTATGGTGACTCATATGCGTCCGCACCTTCGGTATCTTGACGGAAACGAGGGGGAGTGAGTGCTGGAGGGTGGGCATGAGGAAGACGCCCCTCGATAGAAGTGTCCGCGGGTCCCGGAGCTAATGCAGCTAGAAGTCGCATTGGTTAAGTCACTCCGGAGCTTCAGTGCGCGGAGATAAATCGTGGAATGGGTCTGAGTACGCCTCGAGGATGTTGGGAAGTCCGGAGCTAAATAGACAAAGTCTTTTTAGAGCCCATAGAAGCCTAGAGGCGTGCGAGCACTGTGTCGAATAAGCTCCGGGGCGCTTGTATGATGTGCTGAATCCGCGTTTTCGGGGGTCAGACGATCCTGAGGCTTATCACCGTGTGCACACAAGTGGGTGCATTCCCTATCCTCGATACAAATGAGACTTAATTTCCAGGAAACACAGTCTGTGTAAATAATGGACAAAGCAAGTACTGGATCACAGCTGTAAAAGGCTGAATATATATCTCATGTACTATGTTGAGTTTACAGTTCTAACACAGGGGAAGGGACCTGCTTCTGCTGCAGCAGGAGAGCCTGGACAGTGACCAGAATATTTGGTGTGACACTTTTTGCGATGGTGTCACAGCTTGTCACGTCCATGAGGCATTCGGACACATCGTGGATTGCTCTTTACTGCCAGAAAACCTACAGCATGCTATGTTCACATTCATGCATCACTTGATTCATAAAAGTTAATCTATATCAACGAGCAGATGCAACATTGGTTGTACGTACTTGCGGTCTTGTTACCTCTATCTAATGAACTTGATATTGAGGAAATCGGAAATTCAGAACCAACATTGCATTTTCTGTATCATGACATCCCTGCTGGTACATTTTATATGTGTGATTTTGACATGCAGAAGGCTCTATGAAGGCGGGGGATTTGTGATCACTTTCTTGCAGAGTCCAAACAGATGCTGACAACTCGCTGCATGACCCGGAATTGCACCTCCTCACAAAGAGCTGATAACATCCATGGAATTCTCTGGTATCCTTTAGATAAGGGTAATCGAGATCCAGCACATAATTGCTTGAGAAACAGGTTGAATGAGAGTATCACATCAAATTCTCAGAGGATTCACAATTCTCTGCATATGCATGACGTACCTTGACCTTTTCACTGGATTGTCACAAAATCTGGTTTGGCCGTGTATGTTTTCCTGTAATGTGTTTAATTCTGTGCTTTTTATTATACTATGTATTGTTGATGATATGGTGGCAAGGCAAAAATGTACACTGGATGGAAAACTATCACAGATTAACACAAATGATTATCACTTCAGGAGTTTCACTCTTTTGGGCCTAGCAAAAGATTGTACAGTAGGGATAAATGAAATATTGGCTTTTGTAAATGATTCTGGTGCTCACAAAAGATAATCTTTATTGAGAATTTCGAAGCTTGTAATATATATTTTCAGTAGTATTATCTTTGTTGATATATCATAATTAAATCTTTTATATTCCCTGTGGGATATGTAATCTTTAGGGCTGGGTGAAAGGATAATTCTAATTAACAACCCCCCTGGAAGCAACCCCGGGTTGTTTGCTTACAAACTTGGGAAGTATTCAGCGCTGCGTGGCACGCCTGGTCCGATTCCTCGTAAGGTAAACGAGTGGCAAGGGTTCTACAAGTAGGTAAATAGTCTTTCTAGCCTCCCGGGCGCTGCGTGCTGCTGCGCGGCATCAAGAATACTCCTAGTTATTATATGTTGATCTCAGTGATACTAAATCATATAAGTTCGTAACTCTCAAACATAACTGTGTGTGGCTAGAACCTTCAATCATCCTATACTCGGTGTCAAGTACAGTTATTTCAATACACAATACACTATTTACTTCAGTACTACACTCGGGTAGCATTACTATAGAGTCACTGAGTCAGTGCACATGCATACTGTAGCTGAGATGCACGTCGACAGGCTGAGGCCTCAATGCTGCCAGTACTATGCCTCGTGTGTAACTTACACGGCCAGCCGGAATTCTGACAGAAAGCTGCAAACGGGTCAAGCAGGGAATTCTGCAACTCTGCTGTTGACAAATTTTCAGTAGTCATGTAAAAATATTTCACCTTGGTGGTTTTGAAGAATATTTCAACACTCCTGGTCAAATATTTGCACGATCGGTTCCCCCTCTCAAATTCTTATGCAGTATGGTTCACCCGGGCCACTGCACCAAGTTATGACTGAGTATGTTCCCTTACTGAGGACTGCCATTCCTTAGGTGTACCTCCATAGACATCTGACTAGACTGCTTAGATTGGGTGAGTGCATCCTTGCCGCTCCAATCTCTTTGTTCACTTACATATATTGGCTGTTAGGGAATGTTTGCAAGGACAGATAGGTATCCTGTGTCTGGAGTATTGTGGGCCATACATATATCTAGAAACTTCAGGGTGTATGCAGCATTAGATAGAACAATAAAATCCTTGCATTATTGCATAGTATGATATATAATACAGTATCTACCAAGGGACCGGGAGGAACCGGAATGTGAGCCCGAGGATGGCTGAACCACGGATGACGTGGTAGTCACGAGTAGATCACGTGCATTTGCTCATAACAATTTCTGACTTTCCCCAATCAAATCTTTGCACAAGAAGTCATTTTGTCGCTTTTTTAGAACAAAAAAATGTCACAAATTCTGACTAGTGTGATTTGACGTTTTGACTTCAAGGGGCATTCAAATATTTTCAACCAAAGCGTCCGGGTGTGTACCAATCTTGTGCCGTAGGCAGCAGGGTACTTGCCATCGGCGCAATTCCACACACAGCCGGGGGATGCCTGACAGTGCCGTTGGCCCGAGATCTTGAAAGGATCATGCCGTGCAGAGACCACACTACATATCTGGAATTAGTCCCTATTCACAAACGGTAATTATTGACATGAGAGGTAATAGCTCCTATTTGCTGATGGTAGTAAGATTTGGATCGGTGGACCTTCCATTTAAGGAGGGTGCTCCCGTTACAGTTAAGGTAAACTGGGCTATAAGGGGTATACCCCCTGTTCAACGCTGGCAATTTTCGATCACCAGAGAGCCCTATACAATGACTGAACAGTAAACCGATTCTAGAGGAATCGGAATCATCAACCCCCCCAGAACTGATTTAATGTAGATAATATGTTTTTGTCACTTCTGTCACTGCCCTATCAGTAGATGAGTTCCTAGTACTGGTACCTCACATGTATTCAGCTGGTAATGCAATTGTAGACGTGCTACAGCTGTTTGCAAACCGATAGAGCCAGTTGAGTATTTTTGTGCATGGGGCGCCACTCCAAGTCTAACCAAAGCCGGTAAACGGTGCACCACTACACACCAACAGGTAGGGCGCTAAAGGGCAGTTGACCGCCTTCCGACCGCTCTCGCAGCCTCTCTGTGCCGTTTCCGGTGATTTTGTGGTTGTTTGTCCTCGGAGCGGCCTGTGTGAACAAAAATTTGGACTGGCTCTATCATTTTGCAAACAGCTGTAAAATAACTAGAATCAGTGCCAGCCACTACCAGCTGTAGGACAATTTGCTGATGCTCGCAACGGTACAGAGGCATTGAGAAATGCTTACCAACTGGGCTGGGACACTTTTTAAGTCCAAATATCACCATTTTAGGTGAAAACTCTGACCCATCTGCGAGAACCACAAACCCATATACCCGGTGCTGCGGGTCGTGGTATGGCGTAGTGTGGACGGTCCAAGCACCTTACCCGCACCCGAGCAACCCCCAGTGATATGCACAGACAACAATCACCAAGGACCAAAAGAAAACAAATAAACCTAACACCAGTGGTATGGGTGGAGGCGGTCCGAGACAACTGAGGGGTATTTTAATAGTTCAAGGGGGAAGGAGGAGTAAGATGATGTAGGGTAGTCCGTAGGAAGACCTAGAAAAATAAAACAAACACTTTGACGCCTGAAACAAACGCTAGTTGACGCTCCGGAGTATTTATCTCCGAAAAGTCACAATCAAAGTTGCAAGCAACGACGCCTGTTGTAGCTGGAGGACAACCAGGGTTGCTGGATAATGGCATGGGTTGCTGAGGGGTTGTTGCTCCCAGGGGGGTTGTTGATCAGAAATATCCTTCCCCGAGTGGCAACTACTATCATTTGGGTAGTCTTGCAAATTTGGCAAAACTACTGCAGCCCCTAGAGAGAGTTCTATACCAAATAAAAAAATTCAAGGACTTTTTAGGCATGTAGATATAGACTGGTAGATACCCTCTGTCAATTTGATTTAGGGAAATATCGAGTGGTCATGGAGAGGGAGGAAGAGGAGGGTGTTTGGAACCGCCTACAGACCGTGTGAAACCTAGATCTGGTACCCATTCCATGGTTTGTTGCCGGGACTTCATTTGGACTATACTGGTGTACCATACATTGAGCTACTCAAGCAGCCCGATTGTGAAGAGATGGAGGATGTAGCTATAGCGATGCTGTTTTGCAAAACTTCGAGAGGCGGATCGTGACAAAAACGTGATGGATCTCGCGGGAATGTCACGCGTGACAAACTTTTGCAAAACCCCCTGCACACCCCGGCATCTGTCCAGTATCCTCTACACCACGTATTAAAATACAGAAAAATCACCATTGGGTACATAGAAGGGTTCTACACAATGCCATGAAAAAATCGGACGCAAGAGTCAGCGAACTGAGCGCAACACGTCGATTTACAGAGAGTTTTGCAAAACTACCCACATGATAGTATGCTTAGTCAAAGTCCAACAACCTTGAACTCGAAGTGATACCACATCCGAGCCACGATCAACGGGCGTCAACTTGGAGTCGCGAATTAATATTGTTGCGTCTACGACTGTGCGAAGGCCAACGGACGCGACAAAACTGGTGTTATTCTTCTCTTGAGGCCCAGTGGGGCCTGAGTTGCGTCTCACTTCTCAATCACTGCTGGCCAAATGAGGCTTCCTCCCGCAACTACTTCGCTATCCAAAGTAAGCACACATTTTCGTTGGATTCTCTTCCCCCCGGTCGAGAGTGTTTACATGAAATCTCATATGTCCAGTGCTACTCTAGTTCGAGGTACCTGAAAACTTTCTCTACGAGAAGGGGTTCTTCAATGAATCAGCTGGCATCCATACTCTCTGAAACTGCTTCAGGCTGGCGCCCAAGTCAGTCGCAGACCGCGCAATGCTTCCCGCGCATTCTCAGCGTCTACAATATGTGCCCTTGGAATGCAGCTCCAGGAATGCGGAAGTGCAGCAGCCTCCATGGAGAAGCACCAAAAGGAGATCCGGTCATCAATCATAGGACATTGGATCCGAGTCGCCTCTCGGACCACGATTTCGTCTATCTGAGCGAGAAGCCTTACCTCTACCTAGGGACTTGGGCGATACCTCATGCAAAAGCTCCCTGGAAGGATCATCTTGACTACGCGCAGACGCGTGGAATGCAAATCAAGTTTCCAGCGAAGACTCAAGGGTTCCTGTACTGGCATAGAGAAGAGGGTGCACCCGTCTTCGCATCTGGCATACGTTTCCGCGTCACCAAATCCTCGGACGTTGCCGCGTTCTCCAGTGGAGAAGACCTCAAACGACCGGACGGACGCATCTGGGAGGTATTGCTATTCGACATCGCACGGTGCAAGGCTCTCTCCCCTCTCCGGACAGCCTTGTTGCGGGACGGGCTTGCGTCTCAGGAATTATTCGACAGTGCTCTGAGCGTTGCCCGTCGGAAAAGCGACGGACTCCAAAAGCCTGATTCCTACAGCCGTCTCGTTTGGAGATTTTGCCAGCCGTTTCCCGTACGTCTCGAGGCAGTCACCACGGAGATATGGATACTGGGCCCCTCTGCAGGTAGATGGTTACCTCTTCGCTGCATATTCCCGTGGGGACATGAGAAGCCAGCGTATAAAGGTGAACTTGCCCCACCGTGACTCCTGCATGCTCTCAATTCGCCCCGTTGTTAGGAAGAGCCCTTGCTCAGTTCGAACGCTCAACCCTTCCTGCGCACCGTGGGACACGTACCGTCGTCCTCCGACTTGTCAAGATATTCGACTTAGCCCGGGGCGAAAATGTGCCTCCGAGTCTATCGGTGCCTGCGCCGGAAGAAGGCGGCCTCGCTCTAGTGCGGGTTTCAGGCCCGGGCCCGACGCGTTATATCCCTTACGCACACGACGTGGACAAGGAGGGACCTAGAGGAAGGATACCCCGCGCAGCGTTGAAATTACTGTTTGAAAACGAAGAAAAGTCTCTCCGCGGAAGCTCAGACAGTTGACTATTAGTGTAACCGTGCCGGGGCGTCCTTACTGATCAAGTAGAGGTCTCTACTGGTCAAAGAAGGAGTCGAAAGTCCATATAGTGCGGCAGAGAATTCCTCAGAATCCAGTGCTGCAAGTCATCGGACGAAGTGCAAAACGAGCTGGGTCTGGTGGAGTATAACGTGGGGTAGGTTAGGATGGCGCTTTGAATCGCAGGATTACCGCCTGCTCGACCACGATAGGGGGCGATATGCACCGCATAGTGTACACGCAATCATTCGTACGTCTGCGTTGGATTGCGAATATAATGCCATTTCCTTTTTTTTCGGTGGTGGCGTATACAATGCGCCGGGACCTGTCCACGACTCGCATGATGTCGCGAACGCCCCACCAGATGCATCCCTATTCTCACCGACGTCGTGTCACACAACACCGAAGTAAGTTTTCGACTTCTTTGGTTATTTAATATTGACCGCCACAACCAAACAGATGCGGCGTCCTCCATGCACTAGTGGCGTCCGTGAGCCTTGTGGCCACCCGGTAATATTTGTGGCCGCGTTCGGTTCTCGACCGCCTTGTATCTGACGGATACGTCCGAGGCATGTACTTATGGGGCGAGCACCGTACCAACGCGAGTCGGGTGGCACTTTTAGGACCTACGTTGGTGGCGGTTTCTCCCAAGACGCCCTTACGCCACATTCGAGCTATCACCTCGTGCAAGTGGCACCACAGGTACTTAAGGCCTCCTGCGGGGCGATATGAGTCCCCAGAAAATCCTTCAGCACTACTGCTGTCGAAGATTCAGTACCCCCACTTCCACCAGCATCATCTTAGAATGCCTTACCAAGTTCGTTACATTCAAATATGTACTTTATCAACTCGATGGTGTTGACGCTCCCTTCTTTCAGGTCGGGCAGAATGTCAAGCTCACCAGGAAGGGCGACAATGAGCTTGCAAGCCAACTGGTGAGCGCCGACACTCGCAGCAGGACTTTCGAGGTCACGGAAGTCAAAGGACAGGTAGACCTTGTCTCTATTACGTTGCTGCATAATTTCACTTAACACTCTCTTAGAATCATTATGAAATTGCCACTCAAGGCAGGCACGGTCGGATGGTATATACGGTCCATGAGTCGTGCATCACGCTGTAAGCAATTTCGACTCTGTCATGTCCATCCTGCTCACTTCGAACTCGTATTCAAGTGCTCATTGAGGGCCATAAGCCTCATGACAATTTCTTCCGGGATTCACAATCTTGTACACGAGTCTCTCGAGTTTTCTCTATTCATGTTATCAGCTGTGTGAAATAATTTGTGATCCCAAATGAAGCGGTTTAAGTTTTTTATCTTAGCATGGCGTCCAAGCCATGTCGGTCCGCGGCATCGCGCTCTACTTTAGATAATCCCCGAAAACGGCTGAAAGCACTCCGTAAGGCTACATAGTACAGTGTACAGTTCCTTTGAGTTGCCTACTACTAGTACCAGTACGCGACGCGACGCGTGTAGGAGCACGTGACTCCACTCATACTGCACTATCCCATACCGTTCCGGTCAACTGCTCTGTTTGTGACTCTGTGCCGCTGCTACGATCCACAGAGACCAGAGTTAGAGTTAACAACGAACGCTTGTGCAGCTGTCGTCGTTTGCGCGGAGTGACTCACTGCCTTGTGAAGGGTCGCGATCATGGCTTCACTTGAAGTTGCAGGTATGTGCCGGAAACAAGTCGAATTAGACGTTCACTGACGGACATCATGCTTGTAGCTGACGTGCTTCAGGTCTCTGGAAAGAGCGCGATTGAGAGGCAACCACCCGAAATTCTCAGGATTATCTTTGACTTCTGCTTCGGACCATACGATCTACTCGAGCCGTCGATGACTCAGGGCCCCAACTCGCCGTGGTCTCGCACTCTGCGTGACCAGAAGTCGATCGTGCGAGTATGCAAGGCATGGTGGTCCGTCGGTGTTGAATCTCTCTACAAGCACGTTGCGCTTCGCCGCGTTGGCCAGATCCCTGCGCTCCTCCGCACTCTGGATGGGGACTCGCAGGCGCAGCTGTCCCATCTTATTTCCAGCATTGCAGTGGTCTGCGCTGTACCGGATATATGTCAACTTGCGTTCTCATCGTCCTTGGACTGTCTACTGGATAAGTGCCCCCGACTCTCGAAGCTGACTTACGCCCCCATCTTCGACGGGTATCCAGGATCTCAGCCGTCACACGACATGGCCCCTCACTTCCGGTCCGTCACTCATCTCGCATTTGGAGATGACGTGCCTATGTGCCAGAGCCTTTTTGACCTCTTAAAAGCGACCACTCAGCTCAAGTCATTATCCCTAGTTGTGGGCGATCTGGTTACTCATGAGTGGCGAATCCCGCAAGACATGGTTCACCTCGTCCACCTCGAGCATCTGTCGCTCCGGGTGCTCCGTGAAGGCTCTCAGGATATCCAACAGGTCAGAGACGGTCTGAACTTGCCCAATCTACGCAGCCTTGAGTGCTCGTATGTACACCGGCGGCTCTGGAAAGACGTGCTCCCTCTGATTGCCAGCAAAGGCGCCACACTGCGCATGCTATCGCTCAAATGCGTTATACCATACTGTGATCAGTCCTACGCGCCATACGACATCCAGCCTCTCATAGAACAATGCCCTCTTCTAGAGCACTTGATCTTCATGGCAGACCTCACTTTTCCACTGTGTCATCCCACCCTGCGTTGGGTAGACATCCTAGCGTGGAGTCCCAACACTACCTCCTGGCCTTCCCGAGGGCATTGGCGTGGCTGGTCTGTCGATGACGACAACTTCGCCGCAGAGCCGCCGACGTCTTGGCGGAGACTCCTCGAAGGGTTCACCCGCGAGGCGTTCCCCGTCCTCGAGCGCGTGAGACTTATCGACCCTGAGTTGGCAGCCATGCCCTACCTAGCAGTCGCACTGCCCCCGCCTACTAGCGAATACCAATGCCTGAAGATTCACGTCCCCGGGGCGACGATCCTAGAGACCTTCGATATGATCAGGAGAGAAGATAACTGGCCGGACGAAGACGGTGGGAGGGGCGTCGAATCCATGGTCGACGCGACTACTCAGCTGACGCTGGAAGAATCGGATGGGGATGATTCGTACATTACCATGAGCACCTCGTCGTCGACGGACTCGTCCTTCGATAGTGATGATGGGATTTTCGAGAGTGAGGCTACCGGGAGCGCAGGACGTCTGGATGTGGCCGAGTTATTGGAGATTTTTGAGCAGACACAGGAGAAAGGGCTCCACGTTGAAGATATTTCGGGCCCATCGTCAGACTCGGTTGATAGCCTGACTGCCTAGGACCGGCTACCCTCCTGCGCTCTCCCGACGGTCGGTCATGCTAGGATATACTTTCCAGACATGTTGTAGCTAGGCTTATCTCCACGCTGTAAGTGTGACAAGTCGTCATCCGCTCTTATCGATGACTAATGGCTGACAGATTTTGTGCGGATGCCTTGAGCCCATGCCTTCGCATGGCATACATGATTGATGAGTCAATTGGAAGTAGACATCACAAGCGCTGTCTTTCGCGCCAATAACGTTGACGGATAGGCCATTCGAGGACCGCGAATGTCCGAAGTCGAAGAGGAGCTCGTCGTTTTGATCTGCTGCGGGACATAGCGTACAATTGCTCCCTCGACCTGTCTTCCGTCTCTAAGGGCACCTTGGTCATGTCATACGGGACTTTGTAGACCGACCGCTCCTCCGCAGCGTTGCATGGCACACCCTGTTACTTTCTACTATATCTCGATTTTCTGACGCGTCGACGATGCCGTTACACAATGTTCTCCTCGTCCACTGGTATCTCGTCAGCATCTCCCTTGCCGCTCTGGTCACCAAGTCAGGCTTGGTGGTGGGAGGCAAAATTTGTGGAGTAACTTCGCTCGGTGGTCGCGAGTCTTGGCCCAGATAACGGGCAGTATTGGCATGCTTAATTGACGCCCACCCCCTCTCGTATAATCAGGGTTATCCCTCCGCTTCCCAAAGCAGTCGGCGGACGCCTTGGGATTTGTTTAGATAGATCCGGAGTCTTCTTGTCTTGCGATCTCTCCGGCATGAGAGCGGGCCCGTTGTATAGTTGCCAGTACGCATTATACGATCCCATGTGTGCATACCCATGTGGTGCTGTCCTTTAGTCATGTATCTGTATCTCATCACCGTAGTTTTCGATCTCTTCCATTTCTTGAGTTGAGGCAACTGTCGAGGCTTGCAAGTCGACTGTGGCTGAAAACATCGACAAATAGAAGTCATCTATGTATTGCAATTCGGCCTATGTACTTCGGCCCGTCACTCACACTAACTTTGTCGAGCCTGATCACTAGCAGCAGCTGCAGAAAGCTCGTCAGCATTGTACGATGGATGTAATAACGCTTTTGACGTTTCCTAAGACGTCGAAAGCTTTCTCGACCTTCCAGACGTCGGTCGCAGACAACGGGTCTGCATCTCCTCCGCACAAGAAAGCACGTTTGGACCCTGGCTCTGACGCTGGTTCTCCATACAGATCGAGACGAAATGGTCGCGACGAAACCAAAGGGCCTCGCGATATCAGGATACTCGGCGAACCTAGTGAGTCTCAGCGGCGTTGATACCTAGGCTGTACTAAGGTGTGGTAGTTAAACAGGTGTCGGAACGTCAGTTCGACAATACGTTGGCCCAGCTGAGACGGTGCATCAGAATATTGCTCACGAAGGAGCCGCCGGACAACCTGCCTTTGACGTACGAAGGCATCTACGTCGCTTGTCAGACGCTTGTGGAGGTGGCTGAGAAGGGAGAGGGTGTATATGAGCTGCTAAAGCTAGAGTTGGAACAATGTGTCGGGAGATTGGCCAGGGTACTCTCCGAAGGTGAGGGAGACAGTGTTGAATGGACTGTTCCCTTTGTGGAAGTTTGCGCTTGGTATGAAAAGCAAGTGGTGCGTCCGTCGGTTACGCTCATGGGGTTCGGCGGTGTAATCTTCCTCAGGCTCTTCTGCAATCCCTCTTGACATATCTCGATCAGAACTACTTGATGTCAAATAATGCGAAGCGCGTCCGGTGAGTATTCACCGATTGTGTACCTCAGCACAATAACGCAGACTACTTAGGGAGCTGGCTAATGGGCTCTTCACCTTGCGGATCTTCGCGAACCCCGAGATAAAGTGGCGTCTGAATGCCGCCATAGAGAAGTGGCTCGCTTGGGAACGTCATCACAGGTACGAGTCTTGCACCGATCGTGTTATCGTCCTTCTACACAACGGCTTGGCCCGACAGAGCTGCTCATGAGCTCCGGCCTCGCTTCCAAGAGCTCATCGGTCATCTCTATGTGTACGGGCAGTATTCTCCGGTCTTGGAGGTGCCGTATCTGGAATTCACGGAGGCGTTCTACACCGCCGAATCCCAGGCGCTCTATGAAACGTGCGATAGTGCGAGAGACTTCGCCAAAGAATGCAAGATCCGTATCCAGGAGGAGGAGCAACGAGCGAGGGAGGTCCTGTCTCCTAAAAGCTGGGACGAGGTGAGAAAGACGACGGAAAGGCAGTTGTTGAACAGCCGATTGAAATGGTTGGCGAGTAACGGTACGCATGGGCTGTTTCTACTCTACATGTTTGCACTGTAACAGGATTATAGCCTTGCCTGCAATCATGGATGCCAAGGCTCTGGACGAACTGGCGGATCTCTACGACTTGTTCTCACGAGCCGCCGGTCACAAGGTCCTGGCTAATGCCTTCAAGGAGTACGTCCAGGTAAGTAACATGCACTTATTCTGCTTTAGTATCGCTCTAACCTTTTGCAGAACAATGTCAAAGCCATCGTGAAGGACGAAGCCCGCGACGAGGAAATGGTCGAGCGCTTGCTCGAATGCAAGAGCTTCGCCGAAACAGCGATATCAACCGCATTCGTTGACATCGTGCGCGACGAGGACGAGCCCCGCGCGTCCACGTCGGATACGCCCCCTGCGAAGCAACCACACAAGGAGTTTGGCTACGCTCTGCTCGACGCATTCCAGGGTGGCTTCAAGGCACGGCGGAAGAAGCCCGCGGAGATGATCGCTAAGTATCTCGACAAGGCGATGCGGCGGGGCCAGAAAGGCGCGAGCGACGAGGAGTTCGACCGCGCTCTGGATGCGGCGCTGTCGCTGTATAGGTTCACCGATGATAAGGATGTATTTAGGACGTTCTATCGCAGGGGCTTGGCGAAGCGGCTCCTGTTGCAGAGGAGTGCATCGGATGATTTCGAGAAGGCAGTGTTGAAGAAGTTGAAAGAACGTGAGTATTTCTCTTGTTGCGTAGTGCAATGCGTGCCTCACAATCTGGTTTCTTACCAGAGTTCGACCCTGAATTCGAGACCGGAGATGACATGTTCAAGGACTTGGCTCTTTCGAGGGACATGCTAGCAGAGTTCCACCAGAAACTGGCGGAAGACGACCCTGCGCATAAGCTGTCTGTAACCGTTTTGCAGCAGAGTGTCTGGCCTTTCACTCCCAACGCCACGGTTGACCTGCCAACTTTCGTGAGTCCCATGGCGTTCGAGTTGCGTATGTACGTGACTTATCGTGGCATTACAACATAGATGCAAGATCAGTTGAACAGATTTACCGTGTTCTACAAGAACAAGCACCAGGGCCGGAAACTAGAATGGGACCATAATTTGGGTACGGCGAACTTAAAGGCGCGGTTCAAGGCTGGCTCGAAGGATCTATCTGTCAGCCTGCATCAGGCTGTGATTCTGCTACTCTTCAATGATACGGATGAGATCTCCTTCACGGATATACAGGCGTCTGTACATATGGGTGCGTGCTTAACTATTTTGGAAGGGCCAGTGGGTAACTGAAATCACCTCTTGCAGAGGACGGAACGTTGCGCAGAACACTCCAGAGTCTTGCATGCGGCAAGAAAAGGGTTCTGAAGAAGAGGCCGGCCGGGCCTGACGTCAACGATGGGGATGTTTTCCTTTACAATGCAGAATTCACCGACTCCAGACCTAGGGTCCATATCAACACTATACAAGTCAAAGAGACGGTAGGCTCCCCTTGAGGTCATTAAGCGTCGTGGCTGATCTCTCTATTTAGCCTGAGGAAGCCAAACGCACGCAGACGGCAATCGAGGGAGACCGGAAGCACATACTGGATGCAGCCATTGTTCGTATCATGAAGGCCAAGAAACAAATGCGCTACGAACAGATCAAGAATGATACGATAGAGGCGGTCAAGAAACACTTCGTCCCGGAAGTCAGCGTTATCAAACAGCGCATCCAGCAGCTGACGGAGCAAGAATACATGAGGCGAGACGAGGATGATATGAATCTGTATATTTACGTTGCATGAGCTCTGTGCTCCTGTACTGTTGGCACGTAGTTGCGTTCCGGACGTCGAGTACATGTACACTGTCCATCTGGCTGGAATACTTACCCAAGGACAGTGTATGCGTGCAGTGGGCTTTCATTGGTTCTAATAGGAACGCTTTCCTTGAGAGTGGCACGACTATAGTTGTACGTTACCGGGGCTAGGGTCGAGGGTGGCCCATTGAGGGTGAAGTATCGGTGTCATGATGAATACCGGATTCAGCATCTTCAGCTAGGTATTCCTCTTCTGCAAAAGGCAGGTCTGACAATGGCTTATGATGGTCGACAATAATCACGGCCTGGTCTGGGGGTGAAATCGTACGCAGAACAATACTGATCGCAGCGGACGATGAAGGACTAAGCTTCGCCTGGACCGCTGAATTCACTGCACATAGACAGCGCAGCAAGGAAATCCATGACCGCCAGACTTGCAGATTGTCCTACCACACAAATCAGCCATTATGTAGCAAGATCGAGTCGCGGGTTCACTCACTCTTCTGAGACCGAAAATGGGGAACGCTAGAAAAGGAGCTACCAGAGACACAGCGTGTCAGTAACCCAGAATGACAGACCGAGGAGGAACGCACCCAAGCTTGGGTAGGTATACTCAACTATCCTGTGTGCACCACGGTCTACCTTCTGGAACTCCAGAGAGGCGGACCTATGGGAAGTCAACATCAGCCGGTCCAGCAGAGCTTATAGATTCAGATATCCACTGACGCTAGATAGAGTAGTTGGTATAAGATCCATAGGGCCCATCCGGAAGGTGAGAGACGAGTCAATGCGGTCGGACAATCTGGACGCCATCCAAGCGGGAGCGCATTTGTCGAATCCAGAAGAGCAACCATACTATAAATCTTTCGACTTTTGTGGCTGGACCGGGATGAAGGGACACGGACTTTCAAGGACTATGCTCACGAAGACTGATGCACAACTGAAGAATTCAAGAGCTCGCCCTCTAGACGAGAGCTGAGTCTTTAGTTCCAAGAGGGATTGGTGACAACTCACAACCATAGAACATTGACCACGCAATAAGATTCATACGCGTCATGTTGGACGATACCCGGATTGGCCAGGCCCAGCTTAGGATGAGAGTAAAAATGAGAGCGTTTCGTCAGGGAAGGCAGGCTTACCCCCAGGGTGCATAGAGACCACACCGCAGAGCTGACAAAATCTAAGCATAACCGCCGCGAAAGTCACATGCGATACTTCAATGACAAAACAGCCTACTCACTATGAACGCACGTATGTATAATTTTCCCTTCCTCTAAGCGTTTCCTATCGTTTTCAGGAAAAGATCCAGCATCAAACAGAATGCGGTAGTGCCGAACCTAAGAGGAAAAGGATTGAATAAGTGGAGCAGAAGCAATGCTGCGAGCGAGTACATTGAATCTGCGGATCTTTTGAAGGCTAATTGTGCAAGGCACAAGTCAAGTGGAGGGTACGGATTCATGATCTGTCCAGCGTACAACCTTGTCCACATCAATGCGGGTTCGCGACCAATTTATTCCACTTACAATAACCAAGGCGCCGATCCATACAGGATCGTTGCAAGCACGAGTGTAAGCAAGGAGATGTTAGTTCCCTGGACTTTCGTCGTCACTAAAAGAGTGACTAGAAGTAAAACGTCAAGTCCTTGGCCTGCCATTGTCGCCCCGAACCATACTCGGATTTCAACCTCAGGATGAGCTCCCAGGAAGGGATAGAGCGTTATCTCGTTGCTAGACATGGATGCCGGGGGCGGGGGCGGGGGGGCGGGGCGGGGTGGCCGAAGGGCATAAGTTATATAAATATGACATGAGAACCCGTTGCACAACTTGTGCGGTGGCTCAAAGGTGAGTGTTGCATGATGTTGCACCTTCATGCCGCTGTTGGCCTGAACACCAAGTTGGCACTGAGGGTAAGGTACTCTACTCAGAGAAAGTCAGTTGAGCCATCGATGATCAAAAGAGGCGGGAACATTCATGTAAAAAGGGCTTGTGAAAATAGTACACACGTACTCGATGAACGACCACCGCTCTGATGCCACAATAAGAGATTCCCAATGCCTTTTATAACGCCACTGATGATACAATGAATGGAAAATCCTCAAGTCGTATCTACATCGTGGTCATGATCAGATGGCTGTTCCCGGTCAAGCGACACAGCTGAGGACTCCAAGGTGAAGTCGATCGCCTAGGAGAAAGAGGAAGAGACTTCGTAGATAGCCACAGGATAGACCCGAAAGATATGCAGTTATCTCGTTGGCCCATACTCATACCACCGCCAGCAGAAGCCTGCATGTGAACCCCCACCCCGAGTCTGCGTGAAAACCAGGGAGAGGTTTCGGGCAATGCTGAAGGAGTAGCGCGTACCTATACCGTTGAGAGTTCCGAGGACATTACCGGGAGACGTATAACGCAGTGAGAGAATACGCTGCGGAGATGTCTCCAAAGGGACGTGGTAGCAACTTGAAGTATGTAGTACGCCGACCCGCAATGATGGTGGCACAACACGGCCGGGGGTTGTACCTCCTGAGTTCTGAATTAATCACGTCCGAGACGTTCCAGACCTGTTCAGACGCTGGGAAGCTTCTCGACTGCAAGATCACAGGACTTACATGACGAAATGCTGGGACTAGAAGAAGCACAATGCCTCAGTCCTGGAGGAATACCGATTGATCCAAGTACAAGAGGAGTATACCTACTGGATCGTCTCAAGGTAGAGGACATATTGTCCAATGTACGTCGAACATTTACTGTTCTCTCTCTTATTAGTGGAACAGCGCTACATATCCAACGCACCCGCATCTTCAGGGGAAACCATAACGATGAGTGGTGGACCTCCCGGTGATAGGACTCCCAAGCAAATCAAGACGCATTCCAGTGCGTAAGGATTCGTTGCACCGTCCTTTCGGTGGATGGTGGCAGCAGCAAATAGTAACTGCACAAACATTGTTTGTGTATTTGAAATATTCCCGAAATGGTAAGAGACAGTGTATTGTGAACAGAGTCACGTGCCCCTCTACCAGGTACTACGCGACGCGCCAGGAGAGGGCCAGGAGCCGCGCTGACGAAGTATTAACATCGAGTCCTGACTACCGGGACTACTCGTCGCAATACGGAGGACCTCAGCCTCGCAGCTATACTATACTTAAATACTCTTAGCTACCCTTAAGAATTATCAGGCTCTCCTGGGGGTATGACACAATGTGTACAGCGAGGTCCACATAGTGAACCCTCTGAAGGATAGACTCAATGGCGACCTGTCGCAGCAGACAAGCGACTCCGGTCCCATGCAAACCTGGCATCGACGCGGTGTTGATATAAAAGCGCTTTCATTATGACCCCATATTACTGTACACATTCCATAAGAAGATTGCAGAGACTCAAGCCATTATAATGTACACGGGTGTTTAGCTCAAGAAGGAACTGGTACAGCGCATGAGGCAATCAAGAACTGCTAGAATACACAGTCGAGGTGAGCAAGGATGGTCATGGCAAACAGTGGAACTGGCTTACTAGTGCGAGATATCGGCTGCCTCCACCTCGGCTTGCTTCTGCTCCTGTGTTCCAGTGGTAAAAATGAAGTACTTGCCCTAGATGTGCAAGTGCTTAGTAAATTCATGCTCTGGCATGATCGAGGGGGACCATCCTACCCCCTGGATATGGAAGACGTTCCAAGGGCCGTCGAGAATAGAATAGACGTAGTTGTGTCTGTTGCGAAGCCTGACCTTGCCCTGGGCAGTGAGATAAACCTCTTGGCCGACCTGGAAGAAGGGGCTGTCAGTTCGTCGAGCTGATGGGATACAAACGAAACGAACTGCAAAATCCATTCTGAGATTATGTTAATCGATGGGGTGCTGGATCTGCGAGGTCCCCGTAGCAGACCTTAAGTACTTGCGGTGCCACTTGCAGGAAGGAATGGTCTAGGCGTGGCGTACAGACCTCTTGAGAGCAGCCGCCACCGATGTAGGTCCCGGAGGCGTTATTAGACTCGCCTTGGTAAGTTATGGCGCGGCGTCCGCCCTGTATATGGGGCAGCGGCTGTGCATTCGAAAATTCCTCAGAGCCGAGTCGACTGTAAACTGTAAGGCGCCACAAGTCCTATCACGTTGCCACAAGACTCAGGGCCGCCACTGGTGCACGAAATGGATTAAATGGGACGCCACATCTAGTAGGTTGTGGCGATCACAAACAAACAGCAAAGGGAAAGGTTAACAACTCACTGCTCATTTGTGAGGTACAACATGCTGGAAGTAGAGATGTAACCTGGCAGGGCCGTGATAGTGACACATGTATGATCGCGACTGACATGAGTCACGGACAGCTCAGGGGCGTCCTATACGTTGCCACCGCTCGAAAAAATAGGAAAGACAATATTTTAGCGATCCGACGCAGACGTACGAATGATTAAGTGTATCTATGCGCGCGGCATCACCTCCAACGGTAATCAAGCAGGCGGTAATCCTGTGGTCCAAAGCACAACACTAACCGTACCCCACGTTACACTCCACCAGACCCACGCCTTACCCCAGCACATCCGACGACTAGCGGCATTGGATTCCAAGCGATGCTCTGATGCCCTGACTGGATTTTTGGGATGCTTGCTAACTAGTGTTGCCCGTGGGAAGCTCTCTTTGACCAACAACGACGCGGCCGCCCAGTAGACAACCGGCATAGACGGGGCCAGTCGCAGCATAATCTGCACATGCGACGAGACAAGAAGCGTTGTTGTCAAGACCAGTGCGTGAATCACGAATGGCGTCAATTTCGGGGAAAGGAACGGGTCCAGTCGCCCGTCCACCGCTGGGACCTCACTTCCCGCAAGGAGTGCCTTGGCCATCTCAGGAATACGATGAGATAAGTGATACCAGCAGAAGAAGAGCAACAAGGCGTAGACGGGGGCTGCCATAAGGAAGTTCGGTATCTGAGCTACCTGCCAGTACCGCAGGAAACCGACGTCCCAGTAGGTGGACTGGACGTATGTGTAGATGGACGGCGGGAACGTAGAGCACCATGATGGCGGAGATTCCGACGGACAGAATAGACGATAGGCAAAATATTGGTGGGAAATGAAAGGGGTAAATATAAATGCTGCCAGGCAGGTCGCGTAGAGGACGCTTGCGCCGCGAGGCTGTAAGGATGCTTAGTGGGATGAATCAAAAGCGGTTGGGACTATACCTTGTCACGTCGCAAAATAGGCACGGCGAGCAGCGGCCAGATGAGATAACCTGCTAGAAAGACGCCGTTGGAGCGGAATGTACTCGCCAGCATGAAGAATGCTGTGGCTTGAATATAGCGTGATCTGATGCTGGCAAGCATACCTGAACCGTGTACAACCGTCAATCACCATGCTGCCAAGCCGCCCTAGGGTCAATAAAACACTCACCTTTATATGAGAGGTACGAGAAGAACGGCTCCGTGTACGGAGCGTACCGCAGGGTCGCGGGACTGCTTGGCATGAGCGATAACAAGGTGGCCAAATAGGCGATTTTGTTCGAACCAAAGACCTCTGTACTCAAGTCGTAGAATACACCCGTGCTATCGCACAGCAGAGCAAGCAGCGCCCCTCCGAGTAGCGCATTCGCCCATCCCTCTCCTCCAGTGAACAATCCGATAACTCCACCAGCGTATCGCATCGCAAGTGGAGCGCCGGGGAAGAAAGCCCACTCGTATTCATACACGTACCCTTCCTCGGCAATGTGGGCGAAGTGGAACGCATCCCATCTCAGCAACCCGGATGTCAGACGCGATGTTGAGGGGGGTAGCACGGCATGGACGCCGGAGTCAAATAACGGCAGGAAAGACGACGCATAGACGACGCATGATATAGCTATTCGTGAAAGCAGGGATAGTAGCACGAGCTTGCGACGCGGGCATGATAGCAGCCACGTCGTCGACGTCGAGGACGAAGCCATCCTAAACAGGTAATTCCCGCCCTCTCGATGCAATTGATGGCGAGGTGGTGAGGCCGCCTGACCATCAAAATCTTTACGTTGCCGTATGGATCCGTTCCCCATTTACCGGATACTGAGGAGGCTTATATCTGGCGTAATACTACCCTGTTATCCTCCCCATGTAGCCCAATTTGCAGAAGGGCAGTACTGATAGTGCTGCGACCGGGCCCGGTGATAGGCACACCAGCGCCACATGGTATAATTCGCAATCAAGCACATAATTACAACATTCGCCTTCAAAAAGCGATCACCGCAGCTGAGCTGGCTGAGCGCCCCTCTCATTCTCGCAAAGTTAAAGGTGAGTACAAATGTTATGATGGGGCATAAGCTGAACTCCGGGACATTGCCTTCCTACTTGTTCGGCAGGTGTCCTCATGTACATTCCGGCCTTGACACACGGTTTAGTAGCGTGGCTCCTTGGAGCCAGCGCTGTTGCAGCCGGGGCTCACGACCAACGGCCATTCGGCCTCCACAAGACAACCGGAGGAGCGCATCGCGCTGGTGCGGGGTTGAAGTCTCATATCGACTCGGGGTATATACCCTTCGAGCTCACTTCATTTGACGCGGTGTCGTTCCAACCTTACGGCCATTTGGAATTTTTGAGTGCCGACTTCGTGACACTGGCGCACCCTGCGTTCCCCAAGTACAGGGTCAGGATCAAGAAAAGCGACTTCTGCGACGGGACTGTGGCGTATGTATCACTGCTTCTATATGCATATCGTTTTCAGCTTGAAGTTCATTATTAATCACATGTCCCTCTGAGAAGGGCGTACACCGGGTACATTGATATTGAAGCGCGGCATTTGTTCTTCTACTTCTTCGAAAGTAGGAGTGACCCCGCCAAGGACGACGTTATCTTCTGGACAAATGGCGGTAAGCCCAAAGCACACAGTGGTAGGTATGGAAAGAACACTCAAGGCGCTGTATTAGGTCCCGGAGGGTCCTCGAGTATAGGTCTGTTCATGGAGCTCGGTGCGTCCCTGGTCGTAGTTGGAGGCACGAACGAGTACCAATAAGGAAACATAGGCCCTTGCAGGGTCGTCAATTCCACCACGACCCAGTTCCACCAAGAGTCGTGGAACTCGAATGCCAACATATTCTTCATAGACCAGCCTGTCGGGGTCGGTTTCTCCTACGCCGAGTACGGCGAGTACGTGGTAGGTCTCTCAAGGTCTCCTATGTATGTGAAGCCAAGTGATAAGAACCTGATGCAGAGCACCACCGAAGAAGCCGCGAAAGATGTCGCTGCCTTTGTAGCCATCTTCTTTGAGCACTTCAGCTCGTTCAAGGGCCGGGCCTTCCACATGGCAGGCGAGTCATATGGCGTAAGTCGTTCTTTTGCTGTGCGCGCACATCCACAGCGCTCAAGGGTCATGCAGGGACGTTACGTGCCGATATTTGCGTCAGCGATATACGACCAAAACCCCAAACTCGTCGAAGCCGGGCTGACACCCATCAATCTTTCCTCCATAATGATAGGTCAGTCGTCGGTGCGAGGGCATACCGCTCGATCTCAGATATCCCCGACCAGGTAACGGCCACACCGACCAGTACTCCCAGCTCCTGTCCACCTACGACATCCAATGCAGCGGGGCCTCCCTTACGCCCGTCTTCGACATCAGGTTCGTTCTTACTATCGCGTACTATCGTCCCGGAGGCACATGGGTCGTGCTAAGAGGCTGCTGACTTCATGCAGCTCGTGCATTCGGATGAAACAGGCCGTCCCGCGGTGCGCAAAATTATTGCAAGCCTCGTGCGTGGACATCTTCGACCCGATAGGGTGCTACGAGGCGACGTCGATATGCACGCTGGAGCTCCGAATGCCGTACCTGGAGAGAGGTAGGCCTTTCCATGATCCTCAAGGCAATGGAGGAAAGGAAGTGTGATGGTTGTTTCATAGGTGGGAACCCCTACGATATCAGCAAGCCATGCGAAGGGGGAACCGTCTTGGAAGGCAGCCTATGTTACTCCATCGTAAAGTGCGCACTCCCCTCCCTCTCATTTCCGCACACTGAAAAGAGGTGACTACCACAGCAAAATTGATGAATACCTCGCCCAACCCTCCGTCCGCGCGCAGCTCGGCGTTGATGCAGCCGTACCGACCAACAACACCACCTACTCTCTAACAGTCGAGGCCCAGTTCGCCGCGTCCTACGACGACATCCGCTCGTCGTACGACTACGTCGCGGCGCTCCTCGAACGCCGTGTACGCGTCCTCCTCTACGTCGGCTCGTACGACTGGACGTGCAACTGGGTTGGCAACGAGCGATGGTCTCGCGAGCTCGAGTGGAGCGGGAGGAGCGAGTTCGCCGGACAGCCGTTGAGGGACTGGAAGGTGGACGGGAAAGTTGCGGGCAAGACGAGAAGCGCGAAGGGATTCACATTCGCAACTATTGAAGGCGCGGGTCATATGGTATGGAGTTGGTGCCTGTGTCTGCAGGATTATGCGTTGATGACCGTGTGCTGCAGGCTCCCTATGATCAGCCGAAGGAATCACTCGAGCTGGTGAAGAAGTGGGTAAATGGCGAGCGACTGTAATAATCAAACAGGACTGCGTGGATCTCAACGCCGCAGTTGGCGACCCGCCGTTGAGGGAAGGTGGCAGGTGTCTGCAAAGAACAATCCTTGTTCAGGTAAGAATCCAAGGGTATAAGAAGGCCATCTTCGACGCCGTCTGTTCGTCTGTTCTTAGGTATCATTACTATGTGAGACCGACTGTCCTCGCTTCGACTCCGCCGTGTCATATCCTAGCATTGACTTCCTGCGGTGTTAGTGACAGCATTCCTTTATATATGTATGCAACCCGTAAATGGCGCTTGGAAGTACTGGGCCTTGACACATCGTAGACCGAAGAGCCCACCCTAATATGCATAGGCACATAGTGGGTTTGGTAATCAATGGTCTGAGAGGCCTCGCAGAGACATTTCCTCGTTATCGAAGAGCAATTTCAACGCATCACGGGCCTTCCTATATCTTCGGACTCCGTACGCGTCGACATCCACTGACCAGGGGACATAACGTGTCGGGCCCCGTCCAAGGTTCCGTGTAAGAGCGAAGCCACCTTCCTCTGGCAGGCGAAGTGATACATCAGGAGGCACATCTTCTGCCCAGAGGAGTTCAAATATCTTGACGGTTCGGATGACGACGGTTCGCGTGCCACCGTGCTCAGGATGGGTCGAGCGTTCGAATTGGGCAAGGACCCTCCCTAACAACCGGACGAATTGAGAATTTGCAGCGATCATGACGAGGGAAATTGACCTTTGTACGCTTTGCCGGGACCCCACAACTTGCACAATGCGACCCCTCGAAATAACAATCCCACGAATAAGCTGACAAAGCACTACAAATATGGCAAGCGTCGTGGCTGTCACTGTTCCCGACGCTAGGAGACAGTCCTAGCATATCAAATCACTCCCAGAGCATATTTTATATGAAAACCCAGACCTTAACCAACCCGGGGCGTTCCCCCCCGGACCCCCCCTTTATCGATATCCTGTAAACCATACCCTAACCACCTCACCCTAACCCGAACCTTAACCAACCGGGGGTTCCCCCCCGGACCCCCCACTTACCCTAACCTACCCTAACCCAAACTTCCTAACCACCCCTCCGCAGTGCGAAGAAAAACATACAGGAAGTAGGTAGAACATTGGTACAAACCAACAAAAAATGCACTCGTCAGGATTTGAACCCAGATCCACGAGCCACAGCCGCAACGCAGA